GGGAGCGGCTGTGTGCTGCTTAGTTGCCGGCTGGGGTTAAACCACGACATAATTCTAATCATGACTTCCAACTTCAAAAGAAAAGCTTCCAATTTTAAAATGCAGCTTTTGTGTAAAATATACAATTCACAGAAAGCGCCAAGAAATCCTCCTATATATTCATTAACCATTAAAAAGTGTACACAATTCAACATCTTGAGTTTACATTTACTTTACAAGCATACCTTTTTTTTTTTTTACTCTCTAAATTTCAAAATTGAAGAAGGGGATAAGGAATTAGGACTTTATAAAGAGGAAAAAAACCCTCCATTTTAACCAATCACAGAACTGTTCAAAATGTCTGTTTAAAAACTGAGCTCAAACATTTTGGGTACCACTCTATCCTTTTAATCTTCTTTCCTACTTCTACAGAACCACATCAGAAGGTTTTTCTCAGTCTTCAGGAAAAGCTTGCCATGAAGTGACATTTGGCACCTGGATAAATGCCAACAAGTGTGGCAGATTTCACATTGATTTCAGATTTCACAGCATAAAGAATATTTTTGCTAAAGAACAGGAAGATGTTTCTACCTGCACATCAGCATTTGCCCTTCCAAGCAGGGCCATCAACTCACTCCTTAAAAAAATGTGCCTAAATACATTCCTAAAGCAAATATTTTAACGGTGGGTTCAAAGTGTTTTTTAAGAAATGACAATTATCAGATTACTTCTTCGAGTTTGCCCACACTTATTTGTATGCCTTGTACAAAACAGTAAGGATCACTATCCCCATTTTACAGACAGTAAGACTGAGGGGGAATGATTTAAGTGGTGAGTGCTTTAAAGGCAGCGAGGAAGAGCTGTGGCATGGGAGGGGAAAAGGAAAGGCTGATAAGACAGTACAGCGGGACAGGTGTTGCTACATTCTTTGAAGGCTCCACTAAATAATGCTGAAAAGGACTGTGTGGTCATGGGCCCTGGCCAGACCTGCTCCCTCCTCTTGGGGATCTTCTAGTGCCCTGGAAAGGATCTGTCCTTGCATTCATGAACTGTAAGGTGCATCCAGGCTGCAAAAATACAGGAGGATGCTAGGGGGAAGGTCCTTTGTGTCAATTACAGTATAAAGCAGTATTTAAAGGCAATTCCCACTGTAGTGACTATGCTCTCTCTTCCCTCCTGCAGAGTAACTGTTTACGTTCGTCCTTTGTGTCAATTACAGTATAAAAAGCAGTATAAAGGCAATTCCCACTGTAGTGACTATGCTCTCTCTTCCCTCCTGCAGAGTAACTGTTTATACCCTTGGCAGCACAGGGTTTGGTCTGAAATTCTGAATACTGTGATTTTACAGATGACACAAAGGAATCAGAATTAGCTTCGTTAGCTGGATTTGTTAGATTGATTTGGTTTTAGAGAATCAAGGATGAAAGCAAATGTTTCCACTGGTGAGAAGCAGTGAGTACGCCTCCTTTGTCTTCCCGTGCTAATCACTTATATCTATTTAT